GCACTTTTAACAGAGCAGTTAATATCCAAGCTTTTGGAGGAGGGGGCAGGGCATCCACAAAAGAGCACTGACATTGAGCTATGGCTTCAACAGTTGATCGAAACAGTTTAATGCATTTCTATTTCCAGTTGCATGGATCCAGCAATGCTTCTTACTTATTTACAGTATCACCCCTTCCCCTCCTCCCTGCTCTTCCGTTTGCTACATAGATAACAGGGGAAATTGATGCTGACTATTGCCTGCCTGATGTACAGCACTGCCAATGGGTTCAGCAGGATTTTAAAGAGGAATGAGTCAACAGTATGTGACCGGGAATAACATTTACCAGCGTGTGAGCTTGAATAGGAAAACACATCTGTGCTCACCTGAACATTAGTTAAAGTGACAACGGCAACAGATGACCCAGCAGGACGTGTTCTGGCAGTCTTCCAGGTCAGGGAAGAACCAGACCTGCTAGTCACCAGCGCTATGGCAATGCCCATGTCTAGGACTATAAACAGCTCCTGAAGTCCTGTTAGCCATGGTAACCATCCCTCCAAAGTGAATGTCAGTCTTCTTTCCTGGTTACACCTAATATTCACTATGTTTTGAAGATAAAGCACAATAACCCACCTGCTGCTTAATGGGGCAAAACTTTACCTACGGGCTATAAGGATAATCCTTTGGAGATCAATCCCAGATGATTGTGGTCTATTACTTTAGATCCAGCATGGGTAAAATTCACGGGCCATGTTATTCCAGGGAAAGACACAGTCAGGTTAATTCCTTTTCTAGTCATTCCTCCTGCCAATATCTCACCTGTTTTGTGACCCCAAGACAAGAAACAGAGCCAACTTTCAGACTCGATGACCCAAAGCAAAGTCAACCCTATATAAATATCCCCTTTTCTTTCTTCTCTTTTTTTGCTGGGTGCTCAAAGACACTAAAACTTCTGCTAAAGTCAAAAATGGCACCAGCGAAAGTCTGCTTATCTCCTCTTCAGAATTTGATTCACTAATTAACAACTGTCAACAGAGGAGACAGGTGCTCTTCTACCAGGCTTTGGTGGTTATCCAAAGAAGGAGAACACATTCAAGTGATCAAGCAAGGGCCTGAGACAGCAAGTAGTGAGTGTTGTTAAGGAGGATAAACCCATCTGCAGGAAAATACTGGAATGGATGTATCAAGGATCAGGTGGGATGAGGAGTGCAGGGTTGAGCTGGACTTGGACTAAGCTGTCCAGCAGTTTACGACATGCTGTTGAGGATTGATAAAGCATCAGAGCTGACACGATTTCATTCAAGTAGGATAGTGTATTAGGATTGCAATTTTCACCACACTGTTTTATGAGGCTCTAACATAGCAAATGTCATATTCACTGTGATATGACAGTCCTAGCAACAGCTAGAGTTTACAGTCACTACTAACCTTCATAATTCATGGAAATACTGTTTTGACCAGTCTTTTAGGATACTTGGTTAATACGCTTTTTTCAATTTGTTGCTACGTGCATTCTAAATTCATATCTAGGTAGCATCCTTTTCACTGATCCACACATGCACACTGTCTGTCTTTCCTCCTTTCATACATATTGGCTCAAATGACACTATTGTATTGCAAACCCCAGACTGCTGCACATTTTCAAGCCCAGTGTGTGTTTTATAGCCTTACACTATCTCCCCTGTACAGGGTGACCCAGCCCTGATTTTAAACTCACCTCTACAGAAGACTGATTTTTCTGCTGGGATTTTTTTGAGTGAGTACCTCGTTCTGAAAAAAAGCCTTGACAACAGCATCAGTGATAGCACTGATTTTGTTAACAGTACTCTGGCATTCCATTAATATTTTTATCACAACACTTCACAGTGCTGTGTTTATTATGTCCCACAAATCTTTGATAATATGGGTCACTTTTATTCCTGTTTTGAAGATACAGGAAAAGATGACAAGATGTTGCCACTCCAAGTGGTAGATTCCCCGGAGTTCTGACAAGCCCAGCCTCTCACTCTAACCAGTATATAACATTTCTTCACCCTAAACACAGAGCTGTAAGGCTGCAAGGACTTTCGTGAACTTATTAATCTTTCAAAGCTCTACAGTTCAGACCAAGAAGTCCAGGGAAGATACCATCCATCCTGTCAGAGAGCTGATGATAGACAATTACAGCTCATAAGATAAAAGAAGAGCAACTTTTTCTGCTTTCAAAAGACAAAAAATAATAAAAAGTACAAACACCTTTTTTGACAGCTGACTTGTTCTTTTTGTCTTCTTACTTTCTTTCTACTATTGAAGTGCAGTTGGCAAAGCCTATTTCTAGGCTAGTTTTTACAATACAGCACTATATGCATGAGGGTGAGGGGAGAAAACCAAGAAAAAAGGGAAACACAGAAACAGGTTCTGACATCTAATCAGATCTGCTGTATTGATTTTGCAACTTTAGCTTTGGAGCAAATCAGAGAAACAGCCACATTATCATCCAGAATTCACTCTTCCCTCGAGTGAGCCAGTTCAAAAGGAGCTCACACTGACACATAAACAGGCACTCCTGCATGCACACACACGCACACGCGGATGCACACGCCCATGTGGATGCACACCCCACTGAAGCGGCTCTCCAATGGGATGCGTGGGCTGGGGGAGGTGAGAGAAGCGCTCATCACAGAGGCTGCAGGAGCCACACGATTCCCATTTCCAACAAGATGAGAATTCCAGAGCAAGCCACCAGACTAATGAGCTACCCACACTGGAAAGCTGTGTTTCAATTAACCATAGAAGCCCCTGCTGCGGCATTCACGTCCTTCCAGCAGCATGAACATGGAGGAGAGGGATAAACAGGGACTGTGTTGTTTCTGGGTCTGGTTTTTGGGGGTGGGGAAGGAAAGGAGAATTCTGTAAAACGGTTGAGGGCAATTCTTGTCCTACTTTCTTGGTTTGCAGTTTCTTATTCATACTAATGGAAAGAGTAATTTACAGTCCTGAAACCAAAGCTGCCTGCTTAGGCACAGAACAGGCAGTACCACTGTAAGGTCCTTCCACAATTTCCGGGCAGGAGGAGACAGTTCAGGTGTACAAACACTCAGGATGCACCCAGCTTCAACTAAGGGTAAATGGAAATAATGGAGAAGGGAAGAGGGCTGTTTGGGTGGGCTGTTGCACGGACCCTGACAGCATTACTTCGGTAGGATCACAATAAAGCATTGTTTGGCCATGGGAAGAGCTATAGGAAGAGTATGTTGAGTTACTCTTTACATGGTTCATCACATCTTTCCCTTCTTGAGGGTCACATCAAAGGCTCTGCCCCAGAACTGCTTGTTGCTTGTACCTACAACCTTTCTTGTATGGGGAATCATGTCCTCCCCCTGCAGCCCAAGATTCAGGGCTGTGATACCCCTCCAGACCACCTAGGAAGCCTGAATTCATCCCAAGCTTGGCACTGCTGCTCCCTCTGCAGGGGCAATGAGGGTCAAGCGAGGACCACACAGCTTTCAAAAAGCAACACCAAACTAGGGACAGTAGCAGGTCTGATGGCTCTTTGCTCCCAAGTGAAATTTTGCTGCACCTCTCATCAGTTTTTGAGGTGACCAAGGGTCACCCTCCCTGTCATGTCTGGCCAAACCCAATATGTCTGGCCCAGAATGCCTTCCAGAAAAGCTCAAACCAAGATACACATTTTCACCCTGATTAAGGGAAGCTTCTCCACACATATTTACCTGCATGGAAATCTTCACACATTTCCCTGTCTCATCCTGTAATCTAATTCCTGCCATGCTCCTGAATAGAGAGAGATAATTTTAAAAGGGGATCTTTGAATACTCAAAGTGCCTGAAGGATTTCACACACCTCCATTACTGCTGTGTTCCCAGCAGCTCACACCTGTGAGCAGTTTGTCTGGTTGGTTTCAGCCAGGTTGTCTGCTCAGGTCTCACTTCTCTTATTCCTGGGGAGAGAGCCTGAAAGAAGTGTGGCAGCATGTCTAATGAGTGCTGCTGTGCTGTGTGTGGAGGCTCATCAGTCACAGCCCAGAGGCAGCATGCCCAGGTGCAAATTAACCTGCTCCCTGCCCATCCCACACCTGTCAGATCTGTGCCGCTCAGAGTACTCTGCAAGAGTTCAACAGTCACACCATTCTGATGGGATGAGAGCTGCAGGAAGAGCCACTCCTACAGTCACTGCTCCTTCCAGACCAAGGCATTTTACCCAGCTGCTTTCCCCATTTGATTCAAAGTCTTGTAAGAGAGAGGGCACACACTCCCACATGTCACAAAACACCTCAACAGCATGGGAGCTGAGCAGGCACTCACTTCTCTGGAGGGAGAAACCACTGCAGGGAAAGGACGGAGATGTCATCCAATACAGACGCAGGCAGCATCCCTCCTTCTTTGTTCACCTTTGTACACAGTTATTGCCTCCAGGTGGGGCTGGGAGCACCGCCCATAGGTAAAATCACTCAATATACTGCATACTAAGGATCAGTTTTCTGTTACTCACCACCTTGTTGAGTGAAAACCATTTGGGATATGCAGTCCCTGTTAGGTCTGCCTAGCACTGCTTTTCAGGCAAAATTATTCACGCACATCCATAAAAGATAGCGGAGGTAACTAAGTTGAAAAAAAAAGGTTGTGGGGTGGAAATGGTCTAATTAACATTCATTTGCACCTTTTGAATGTTTGCTTTTACAAACTTCATAACATACCCTGAAGGTATTTACACACATGTAATGCATATGAACGCACACCTGGTGAAGCTGCTGTTCTGCATTCATCCTCTGACACGGAAATAGAAAGCATTTTATACAAACATGTACAACACCTCTCCCTTCCATTTGCAACATGTTGGCCATATGGTACCCTGCCCTTATTCTTGTGTAGCCAGACCAATTAAATATAAACTGTTCAAAGGTCCCCAGACAAAAGAGATGTGTCTGCTCAGCCCAGGAAGAAAGGTCAACCCTGCTTAGCCTACAGGTTTTTGTGTACAAAGGCATTCAGTCAGGCACTTCGGTACTGAATGGTTATACTCACACTGCACGTTGAGCTGCACCAGGGCTTCCCGTGGTCTGATGTTAAAGCCATTGTACCTGGCTGTCTGACATTTATAGGTCCCACTCATTTCTCGGCTCACACTCTCCAGATGCAGCTTCCCATCGTATGTCTCCATTGTCATTGTCCCTGAAGGCATGGGGGTTTCCTTATCTACACGGGACCAGATGATGGGTGGCTTGGGCTTCCCACGAACCTCACACTGCAGCTCTGCCCTGGAGCCTTCCCGGACAGTGATGGTGGACTGACCCTTAGGGACACTGATCGTTGGTGGCACTAAAAGAAAGACAAGAAGGGAATAATTTTACAGTGGGTTTTCAGCACGTAAGGAACATTCTTGAGATGCCTGTGTTTCAGTCACGCCAACAGCCTTGAACTTCAAAAGTTTCCACTTGACACACTGCAACCCCTCTACGAGCACACTGTCCTGTGCGAATTATCCTACAGGGTCTGGAGCTGCAGCCTAACAAGAAGATCCCAGCTTCTCCAACATTGTATCCCAATATCAGTGGCAAGTGCCACTTGTATTGGGCAGACTTCACGCTTCCATCCCTCTGTCTGCAAAATGCTATCCAGCAGCAGGGATAGCATCGAGGAACCCAAAGGTAAAAAGCCTCTTCGATCCATTTCTCAATTTCTCATCAGTGAATTTCTCAAGGAAAGTCTTTTTGTCAAGAAATAAACATTGTATCTCCCAAGGTATCTAGCACCCTTATCCAGGTCAGACCAAAATCAAGATTTAAAGAATTAGTGCTTGTAGATTGCATCTCTAGGAGGTCCACAATCCCTCTCTGTTTCTAAACTACAGCAAGGAGTCAGCCCTGTAAGGTGTCTGCTTATTTTACATTGGTGAACGCACTGTGAATCTCCACACCAATGAACCTCTGGATCATTTGAGTGAGAGACAAGTCCCAGCAAAGATCACTCCTGGCATCCCTTCCAGGTTGGGAAGAGCTCGCCCAGTAGAATTGCTGCTGAGCCACGGCTAGAGTTGGAGGCACAGTAACACTCAAAGAAATACCCAGCTATCAACTGACAAACAAAACTTTGTTGATAAACAAAGCTCAAAAGAAACCCAATGACTACAGCTAAAGGGTGCAGAGTTGTCAATGGGAAGAGGTTTGCTTTTTACATCCCTAACACCACCAAGAACCCAGGAAGGGGATGTTTGTGCTAAAATCCACGTAATATTGACAACTTATTTGTGTTAGGCTTTAGAGTTAACAGTTCAGCTGAGGTAAATATGGCCACAATCATTCTCTGAAACCTACCTTTTCAGCTCTTCCTGCTGACAATTGGCAACACTTGGATTGACACTTCTATAACCGCAAGGGCCATGTACTTTGTTTCCATTTAAATCAAGATGTAGGACTACAGAAGCTATAACAAGCTGGTCTGACCAATATTAGCTGAATTCAGTTCCAGCAAAGGAGAATGTGCTATGATAATTGTACATGTTACAGCCTGGAGCTCTCTATGAACAAATTTAGGATGGATCCAGCCTAATCTTCCTCTGCAGTGACCTCCCTATGAAACAGGGAGGCCACCTTTTCAATTTGCAGGTCTCCTCTGGGCGGGGGAATCTCATCACGCCCTGTCCTGCACAGTGCGAAGGTACGACAGCACTTTCAGTGCCAATGCTGTCGGCAGCTACTCACCTGGTGAGCAGCAATTTTCTCCACAGGACAAGTTGTAAATTACATTTGAAGATATTTTCTTTCTAATTAGAGCTATCTCCTTGGAGCTGCTCAGTGGAGGTAGCCACCTTGACGAGCTCAGGCTTTGCTCAGTGGGGAAACCTGGAGCCGCTGCTGCTGCCCTCCTGCTCCAAACCTGTGGTCTTGCGAAAACCTGGGGTTTTATATGGGAATCACATGTTGGAGGTGGCTCATTGCTGTTCATGGGGATGCTGCATGTTGGACAGCCTTGGGTGCTGCACAGAGGGCTGCTCCAGCAGGGATGGCTGTTTTCATTCCCTGGGACACATAGTAGTCCTGCTGGCTCAGGCTGCCAAAGAGAGGCTTCAAAATACTGCAGGCTGCCCTCCCACCCTTCCTCACTGGCAGCATCCACACAAGCATATGGGACTCACCCTCTTCCAAACAGGCATGGGGCAACCTGCCGCTGTAGATACCACCTTTAAGGCAGCAACTGGCTGGTGCTTAGACCAACATCTGCACTGACCAACACTGCCCAGCCTCTCAGTGGGATCATCCAAGGTCTCCCAGCCCTTTACAGCCTCCTACCCTTGCAGTCTTAAACACAACTGCACTCTGCCATCTAGTGATCTTGGGCAAAAAGGATTGCTCCTGGAGGCAGCAACCACACAAGGTCAGGAGAGACAGTTTTGCACCAGGATTGGGGAGTTCCCCGGATTTTGTTCCCTGTGGGTATAACAACGCTGATGTCAGCTGGCATGGAGTGGGTCCTACCTTCCACAGCTGCCCACAGAATAGAAGCACCATTCCTCACTTTTTAGTGAGTCCAAGGCATGGGCAGGACTCATTCTCCAAGCTGCTAATGAACACTGGATGCAATCCCATTGGGAACAGCCTGGCCTCAGTATTTCTGATGGGAGACAAGGGCTTCCCAAAGCATCAAAAACAGCTGCAGCACTTTTTGTTGGGGAGTTGAAATCAGAAGCGTCCAGAATCAAGACTGGGATCAGCCTGGCCTATGGGTCCAGCACAACCAGAGACTGAGAAGAAACTTTCTGTGAAGGTTGAGGTCAAAATCTGTGGGCAGCTGTCTCCCCTGAGGAGTCCTCATCAGATTACTAATGCAGTGCTGCTTTGTGCTATACCTTCTCAGTCCTGGAAAGGCAGCACAATGACATGGATATAATGGAGAGCACAGCTGGACCCACCGCTTCCCAAGATACAGAAAAACAGCCCTATCAGTCCCCAAAGTGACTGACAACCACGTACTTATTGGTTCGGTCCTCACCAAGCGATGGGGTGAAGCTTTGACCCTGATTTTAAGGGGGTAGGCATTTATAACACTTTGACTCCTACAGAGAGTGCCCAAGACAGACTGCATTTGCAATTCAGTAAACATTAAAACATTAAAAATCTTCATCTATGGCAGATGACACCAATATCCTGGACACAGCTTTGAAAAAAGGTATATTCCTCATAAGCGATGCCAAAGAGAGGAAACAGCAGCTTTCTTTCTCTTTTACTCCCTTCTAAACAAAGGGACACTTGAAATTTGGTGAAATACCACCTCTTCTTCCTTCCTTCACAATGTAGAGGTTTCTTTGAACAATCACACTCTAAACCTGTCTCTGTAGCTTTGACTGGAGTGTACTTTGGACTTTTCACAGGGAGAAAACATAAAGGAAGATCTGCTTGCTGCATAACACATCTGACAGAGAAGCTGTAACTTTGTTCATCTCCAATCTCAGCCAAGTGCTTGCCTGAGGATGTGAGACTTTTCCCCACTGGGATTCAAGACACTCATGTGAGGTCCTTCAAAAAAGCCAGAGGCATGGGAGTGGGGGGGAGCTGGTGATGTCAAACACTCCTCTGAGGTCCCCATCTGCCACAGAGAGGCTCACCTGTCTCTGAGGAGATGTTCACCTCCACACTGAGGTCAGGAATGGGTGCTCCCTGGAAGGTAGCCACGCACAGGTAGGTACCATAGTCACTGAATCGCAGGTCAATAATCTCCAAGCTGCAGGTCACAGGTGGGAGCTCGGGGTCATTCCGGGTGATGAGCAACCGGTCTGAGAACCTGGCTGGTTTCCCATTCTTGTACCAGGAATAGACAACCTTCTCCTGGGGAACAGCATCTACATGGCATGAGAGCTTCAAGTCCTGCCCTAACTGGATAGTCTCGCTCTCTTTGATCACATCAGGAGTGATTTGGAATGTGGCATTCTTCATGGCTGAGATAAACAGAAGTGAAAAACTGGTTAGGGAGAGTAAAGTGTCTTGCATGGGACAGGAAAGCAGTTCTTTGCTCCTCAGGAAGGCAAAATCTGCCCAAAGACCTCTCCCACTTTCTTTCCCACAAAATGTCCCCAGGACCTCACATCTGGCAGTCTGGGATCATTCTCCATCTCGGGATAGTGGTACAGCCTGGGATGAGGCTGAAAGAAGTGCTTGCATAGCTGTTGGTCTGGGAGCAGAGAAATTTGCACAGGCACTTCTCCAGAATACTAATTGCTGCTAAATATCACATTTGCCCTCAGCTGTACAAGAACAGCCAGGAGAAATGCAAATCTAGCCCCCCCACCCCGAAAACCCATGCTCTGAGAAAAACAGCAACTTACACCGCACCAGCAGGTTCACTATCTTCTTTGCTGGGTTCCCCACATTGTTGATGGCTGTGCAATTATAATAGCCCGAGTCCTCCACGCGGATCCTCCAGATCGTGAGGTTGCCTCCTTGCACAAGGCTATTGGGAGGCATTGGGCCAGGAGAGTGAGACCAAACAACTTCTGGCTGTGGGTCACCGCCCATCAGAGAGCACTGCATAGTGATGTTGTCACCAGGGTTGACCACCAGCGTCTCATTGACAGACAGCTTCAGAGCAGGTGGGGCTGGAAATGTACAAAGAGGGATACTTCTGAGCTTGAAAAAGACCCATGCACTTGCCTGTACACAGCTTCATACTTTCTAGGATTTATTCTTGATGATGGCTGATGTGAGTAGGGAGAGCTGGAGGGTTTAATGAACTCATTACAAATAAAAGGTGCTCGTATGGAGGTCATACCTAAACCACTCATCATTAGTGCTTAGGACTGGAGCACAAACTAGGTATGACATTTTATCAGTGCCCAGTGCAGGTTCTTTAGGGCTTAGGATGTAGGTCCCAATGAACCCTTTGCACGGGCAGGGGTGGCAAACAGACAGAAATTTGGCAGTGGAAAACCCAAGGCTGAAAGCTTCTTGACTCCTGGTACAAACAGCTGCAGTTAGGCATAAGGGCAATGGAAAGCCATTGTAAACTTGATGGAGAGGTGAAGGAGAAAGGCTCAGAGAAGCCTGCTTGAACAAAACCACTGCTTGTGTTCAAGGACAGCTTGAACCACTCCTCCCGAACAGGGTTTTTATCCCTTTCGGGGAAGGTCTATCACTAAAAAAAGATGGCAGCTCTCCTACAATACGCCTCTCCATCTCTCACGCCCAACCAGACATCTTTGAGAGGCAAAGCCTTTGACAGGCAGCTAGTCCTTGCAGCTCAGAGCCTGATATGGAGGGTTAGAACCTGTTTGCACAGTAACAGACCGTGAAGAGCAACTCTACACCCACTCTTAACCTTCTTCACCTCCTCAGGTGCCTAATACACTTTTCTATACACTTGGGGGCTATCACAATCACAGGGACTCTCTTCTATGTACAACTGAATGGAAACTCATTCAAAATGTCTAGACAACCTCTCCTTTGAATACCCTAGTACCTGATTTTCAATTTATTTTATTTCTGCACCCTTCTCATTACAGCCCCCTCCAGGAACTGATCCAAAATGCTTCCCTTTGTATTCTCTATTTTATTCCATGAAGAGTCTTTCAAAGCCCCTGTCAGCATCACCACTGGCTCCATCCAGACAGAGCTGAGAAAGTATCAGTCCCCAGCACAAAGGCAGGGAGTTGTTTTAAGTAACAGCCATAATAATGCAAAATAAGATATTGTTCCATATTCATGAAGCCTGATTTAACAGCATCATTATTTCTGCCTCCTCTCTCCCTGGACCCTGTGTTAATGAGATGTGCTGGATTTGTGTTGGATCCCTGAATTACAGCCCATACAAACAAGGCGAGGAGGATTGCTCTCTCTTCAGCACCAGTGCCATAATTTAGTAGTGCAACTACTGCCGTGCTGGAATAACGCTTTGGTGCACTGAATATAACATCCTCCCTGGCCACAGTACATGCTATTTTTGCCAGAGGTGACCTGTTGTGCCTAAGGAAGAAGATGGCTCCTCTGTCACGTGCACTGGCCATTTTGAGGCCAGTGGTTGGAGTCCTTGAATTTCGGGAGGCCACAACCTGCATTCAATAGACTTTGGTAGCTCTCTTCGTTGGAATCTTGTAAATAGCGTGCAAGAGTTAATGCATACTAAATGGCAAAGGAAGGATTTGTACATCCTCACCAAGGTGGTTTCATGAGATACTATGAAGCCCAGAAACTCAATAGCTCAAGTCATTGTGGTCGGGTAGGACACATTCTTGTCACTGAGTGTAGCTGACACCAAATAGCTCTTTCTGCCTTCTGACATTGAGCTAGTCTCAGATTCACAGGACATGGACAAACTGACAGATGCAGCATCCATCCCTGTCAGAGACAGAAAAAGGTTGAGACCAGCCTCTATCCAGAGAGAAAGTGTCAGAGTTGGGAAGCACAAACCAGAGGTCCTGCATGCTCTGGTTAAGATTGCAGCATTTGATGTGCACATATCTGACCCATACTCATCTTGCCCAGCTATGGGCAAGGCAACATAGAAAAAACATGACATGCTGATGGAAGCACTGCATCAGGACAGGTTGTGTGTACATGCAAGAAGGAGGTAAGGAAACTGCAAATCTGCTGCCTGCACAGCTCCAGGCAGCAAGCTCCCATGACATACTGCAAAATGGAGCCCTGGCTGTGGCAGCCTGTGTGGATCCCCACTCTCCACTCCCACTCCTGTCAGCAGACAGAGGTTAACAGACTGCAGACATTGTTATGCAGGAGATAAATCTCATTTATTTGTAACCTGTGGCAATTCCTTTTGTTCTTGGCTCAGAAAACCTGCTGGCGGAGTCTGCGGAGCAGCGAGGGGACCATTAAAAACAAAGAATTGCTTTCAATTCCCTTTGAAGTCCAATTTGCTGCAGTAAAACTGCAGGAGAATTAACCAGCTGGACTGCTTAATTTTGCAAAAATTGAGGAAGGGGAAAACATCAGGCTGACCCTACTGGAGCAGGTGATGACAGCCCGGTGCTGAGCTGGTCCTGTGGCCCTGCGGCCCTGCAGACTCAACCTGCTGCTTGGAGCCATGCAACAGCAACAGAACAGAGGAAGATCCGAGAAATCTCCTTCCCATTAAGATTGCAGACAAAGGACCCAACCCCTGCTGCAAGGGCCAAGCTGCTCACTTGGAGCCTGGGAGAAGCACATCTCCTTACTGGAGACTATGATCTGCCCAAAGGCCACTGAGGAGTCAGCTGAGGAACTGAGGAGCCAGCTGAGGAAAAGCAAATGAACTGAGAAGATTCCCTTGGCCTGACATGATCTGACCCACCAATTCCCCTCAAGGTCTGTAGTGTTCGGGACTATAAATATTTAAGAGATGGATTTCCAACCATCTGAGCGCCTTCTCAGTTGCAAAGGCAAAAGCATCCTGAGTGAAGATGCTCAGGATTCTGGGTACAGCCAAGGCTAGAGAAGCTGTGAAAGCACAAGTGCAAGAGGGACGGAAAAGACCTAGGCAAAAAAGGAGAGAACTAAAGAATTTCCTTTAAATATTTTCCCATCTATGCACAATACTACCTACAGGGCAAGTAACCCAGATAATATTTCAAATTAAATATACTTGTGGTATTTAACGCAAATCCTGCCCACACCGCAATGCCGGCTTCATTTTCACTGCCAACTTTTAATACAATTTGCTACGAACACATTTTCCATGGCCCCTTTGAGCTTGTAGTGCCAGGCTCCACTGTAACTATGTATAAATATGCATCTATAATTAAGCAACAGGAAAAAAATACTAGATATACGTACTACATGGTCCAGGTTCAGAGCTTAGGTAAGTACTTAAGAACTTGGTGTAAATTCAGACATATCACTGACTTCTGATTGGGGCTACAACCTGAAAATACATTTTCCCCATTCACTTAGTAAAGGGGCTGGATTGAAATGAAGGGTAGTTTCCCTGTGCTTAGGATGGCAGGGGAGTGGACATGAAGAGAAATTTGATTTTCTGACTCTTCAAAGGAGAGGAAAGAAGAGCTGTATAAGATCCCTTTCTTCATCATGAGCAGAAGATAAGTTTTTAAAGAGAATATTTCAACATTTGCTACAGTCTCATCCTGAGAGAAATTCAGGTAATAGGGTGAGTTGCTCAAGACATATTCAGAGATCTTACTACACAGAGAATATTTTTTTCTGACATTAGCTATAATTCACTTTCTTAAGCTCATTATTTTTCTTCTTCCTACCTAAAATGAGACAACTATTGTTCAACACCTTGGGCTCAAGTTAGATCAATAAACGCAATTTAAACAGTATCAACAGTATCCTGTCAACAGTTAGCAACATCAAAAAAAGTTCTGTCTCCGCTGCACAAAGATGACACAAGGGATGCAAACTGCTTTGTGTTACATTAGAGAGGTGAATAATTCAAACCACTACAATGCCTTTCTCTCTGATCATGGAATACTCCAGGGCTGGAAGCGATTTCCTGACATTTACTTACTATTTGAAAATATTCAATACATGTGGGGACTTTGCAGGTGGGGATTTTTTGTGTGTGTGTGGTTTTGGTTTTTTTTTTTCTGTTTTTTAATGGACAGGCTGCAATCAGGTCCTTGCCAGTATTTGATACGTGATGCTCAATCAGTTACTGCAGGTCAAGCAAGAGGCACCAAACTGAATCTGCTGAAAATTGGAAGTGCCCTTAAGTATTGCCAACATGAATATAAGTGTAAAATCTCTTTATTGAGAAGGGACCGGAAAGGTATGCTCTCAATAAACACCAGTACCAGTGGAGCCTGTTAGCTGGGATGTGCTGAGAGCACAGCCTGGCAAACCAGGCCAGAGTCACACATGGATGAATTATTTGTAAGAACTGCAGCACTGCCCAGCTCTAGATGTATCGAATCTATTTTTAAAGTGACTCAGAATTATAAATAAATAAAACAGTGTCTGAGTTAAAAACTACATAGTGCCTCAACACCTACATGTAGTCTTCCTTTAATGATCTCATGGCAGGCCTGGCCAAGGCACCGGATATATGCAGTGCTACAAGAAATTAGAGCATCCCTGGCCACAAGACTTCCATGTGAAGGCTCTGTAATCCTAGCAGCCATGTACATGAGGGTGACGTGCTGCACACCCTGGCCAGGGTTCTGTGTTACCCTTCTGGAGGAGTAATGGTTGTTAAGCAGGTGAGGGGTCAGAGGGTTGCAGGGACCCTTTGTGTCCCCTCTTACCTGTGGTGTTTGTGAGCTGGAAGGTGATGGATTTGTCAGGGATGCTGCAGACATTGCGGACAGACACCTGGCATGTGTAGCTGGCATAATCCTGAGGTCGTAGGTTTTTCAGCTTCAGGACTTTGGTTTCACCCTGGGATTTGGGAAAAAATAGGGGGAAAAAAAGACACAGGTGTACAAAGCACAGATCATCACTGCAAGTCCATAACCTGTCCCAAGGTTTACAGATTACCAGCAGGTCCCATCAAATCCTCAGGGAACTGAGCATATTCCAAGCCCCTCCAGCTCTATATAAAGGAGACACAAAATGTTTGCAGTGGTAATTTCACCTCAGGGATTTCTCAAAACACCCAGCAACTGACTGACATTTGATCTGAAGGCACTGCCAAACAGGTCTGGGCATAATTTCTCATCAACTGCTGCAAGAATCATCTTGCAGAACATGACAAACCTTAAACATCCCAGAACAGATCCTGGGATCTCACTCTGAGATGTCAGTAGGTGCCCAAGGAAAGTCACTGGGGACCCAACATTGCCAAACCAAAGTAAATTAGAGCAGATTGAGGCATTAATGCTGACCTAAATATGACAAGTTCAACAGTTACACTGTAGAAATTTACACTATAGAGGGAAAGAAGATAATTCAGAGAAATACTCAAAAAACTCCTAAAACTTTCTGATCCTTCTTCTCCAGATTCTAATCTCATTTATGTGGATATAAATCCAGAGTGGCTGCATGGACTTCGATAGCCTTTTCTCATAGTAAGGTAGCAAACAAAAAAAATCACTGCCTGGCACTCCATTAGTTACTGGCTTGTTATAGAAACAGAATTAAGTTGTTAAATTAATGATAGATGTGTTCTGTAGATATTTATTTACAGAATGCAGAAAGCTCTGAGGTGCATCCTATGGTTTGCACACCACGCAACTCATATGTCTTCCCCCGACAACCTGTTGCTATTTTCTCCTTGTGTTTGTCTAAATCTCTTTTGGAGAAACCATTCCATAACTGCCTGCAAATGTGAGAAGGTGTCAGCATGACAAATCCTCCTAAGGACTACCTTGGGGGACTGGACAATGAGCTCAGGCATGCTAATATGCAGAGAACAAGGACATGAACTGAATAAATTAGAACAATAAATACCTGGGACACCAATAACCCTGTGAGAGTCCTGTCCCCTGAGGATTGTTGCTGCGCCACACAAATGATGGCATTTACACTGTGCATGTCATCTACTTACTTACAGGGTCATATGTATCCTGTTTATTGATTAGTAAATGTTGGGTAAATATCTAGAGAGTCTTCAACTCCTTTCTAATGTAAAAGTCTGTTCAAACCTAACACTGGTACAGGTTCACCTCTAAGACAATATTGCAAACCTCAGCGAAGGGTGCTTTGTTAAACATAGTGCGTTTGAGCTCCAGCAAGATTTTCCCCTCCCAACAGTGTTGCAGAGGTGTGTTTTTATTAACTTCAACTCTTACCAACCCAGGCTTACCAACTTACAGGCTTATACTGGTGCTAAGGAGAAGACCTTAAGGGCATGCCTCTATGAGCACAGCAGTCCTAACACCCTCTCTCAGACCTGGGAATGACCCATCGTGTTGGGAACATTGCCTGAGAGGAGCTGCAGGATGATGGGTCCTTTACACATTAATGCTGCAACATGGTGAATTTCTACCAGATGCCTTATTTAGCTGAAGAAAATATCCCAAGACATCCTCTCATTAAGCAATGTCTCCCGTTAATTACACTGAGCTTAGTGAAAGCTGGAGAGCCCATGGTGGCTTCCTCTAAGGCCAGGGATGTCCTGCTTGGGAGCCACATAGTGCACAATGCTGTCTTCAGGGCCAAACAGCAATGCTGACTTACAGTGTTTCTGCAAATCTGCTGCTAACCTGCAGCTCTCTCCTCCCTCCTCATCCCCCTGAATGTTTCCATTTGGCTGCCCATTTCCATGACCTACAGAGATGGCGTGTTTCAATAAAATATGAACATGACTACATTAACTTAAAGGTTGCCTGGGGCACTGCTCAGAAATCAAACTTGGGCAGAATGTGCTCAGGGCCCGGCTTTGGGAATGCAGGAAGGTGCTTGGGATGAAACAGCTGCCCTGGGGAGCTGCCCTTCCAGCCCTCCCTTCTAGCCCTCCCTTCTCACCCATCACTGCCTTGTGCTGCCTAGCAGACTTGCTGGAAATACTGGGGCTGATTAGCATCTGAAGGACACTCAGAACCGGAGCTCAGCTTAGGATAACATGCCCAGAGTGCCTTGGCAAGAGAAAAAATCCCTTTGGTCTCCCACTGCATTGGGAGGCTAACTACTGTGAAGGAAGTGGTATTCATGGGGGGAACATGGTTGTGCAGGGCAAGTCCAGCACAGGCAAGCAGGACAAGCAGAAAGGATGTGGACTCCTTGTCATTGGACAACAGTCAGGAAATGCCCAGGCATCTCTGCTCCCCATAACACGTGGCTATTAGGAAAAGCCCATGGATCCCACAGCAATGCCTGCCATTCACTCACACTGCTAAACAGGAAGCACTTCCCCTTGCATGTGGGGCTTGGGCATTCAATTACCAAAAAAAAAAAAAAATTAGCAATGGGAGATAAAAGAAACCTGATCTTGGAATTTTTGCTTGGATTTTAGTCTCAGCCATCTAACAGCCACATAAACTCATTAGGGGAGCTGTGACCTGCTCTCAGGGACAGTGACAAAAAGGGGAGGGTAATTCTAGGCTGTCACACAGCCCCCTGCTCTTCCTGTACCCTGGGAACCTACATGCAGGAGGCTCTACCAGCCTTTCTGGAGACAGTGCTCCTTGCAGTGCTCCACACTCTCCTCAACATCATAATCCATACAGGGAAAGACAATCTACTACAGTGCCCTGCATCAGCAAGACACTCAACATAAGTCGGCAGAGATTTGCTTTTTTTCACCTGTGTGTAGAGGGGTTCATAGATGTCCACGCCATTGTCCTGACTGTGAGAAAGTGTCTCAGCTCCCCGTTTCCAGATGAAGCGAGCTGGTGGGTTGGAGTTGACAGTGCAGCGGAGGAAGACAGTCTTCTCTTGGTAGAAGCTGCCACGCACATCACTGATGGTCTGGTGAACGGTGAGAACAGGTTCATCTAGATCTGGAAGGAAAGTAGGGACGGTCGCAGCAGCAGTTAGCAAAGCTTGGTCTGCACGTACAGCCTGCAGAGCAAATGATGCTCCAGGCACCACAGAGGAGAGGGGAAGGTCCCACACATTTGGCTGATGACAACTGCTGATTTAAGAACTTATCTGAGGGCAGGTAATACAACCAGTATCTAAAGGGAACAGACAGGAGAAGCCAAAATTGTCCCGCTCACCACACAACCTTCAGAGAATAGAAAGCAGTCTCTGGTTTGCAGATCCCCATGCAGTCCTCAAACCACCTGCCTGCCACATGCCTCTCAGAGCAGTGGGCTGCCTCACCTTCCACGATGGCACACCCCCACTCCCTCCCTCAAAATCACCACTCTCTACTTCAGTGAGAGGTCAGAGGGATCCCAGAAAACTCCATCATCATTTCTCTACTTTTCAACTCCCAGATCCCTCCTGGAATCACAGGACTAAGCCCACGGCTGTGAGATGTCCGTACAAAGGACAAAACAAACCTTCAAGTAAAGGAGTGAGAGTGGAAATCAGGATAAGATTGAGGAACTGAGATGGAGAATCATGTAGACAGGAGCAAGCCTTGTGGGGAGTCATGGGAATATGAGATTCAAAACACTGTAATAGGAATGTATAATTTCTCTCCCTATTAAATATCCTCTGTATTTTCTTCAAAGTCTGTACTGACTACCCTTCTTCAGCAAATTCTACTCGCTTCAACTCCATTCCTCATCCCTAAACTGATTGGATTCTTTTGTTTTCTTCCTTTACAGAAGACACTCCTTACAATTCCCTCACCATACCTCTACTGGACCTGCAGCCATCATGACTGAATCAATGGTTATCAGTGACTTCACTTGCAAGGACTCAAGCAACAGTTCCACAGGGAGAGTATCTTCTCCATCCATGCAGAGCACACTGCTCCCCTAGAGTTGCCCACCTGCTAAAAAGGGATCATTTTCTTGGAAGTTGCACCAGGTATCAATGTTTGAACATCAAGGTAGCATGGGGGAAACCTCAGAGGAGGTGGATCTTTCTCCTCCCAGAACCACTTTGAGACTGACTGAGGTTAAACGTTAAGATCCCACTTGACAAGAATTGACCCTCTAAAACTGAAATCTGTCCCTGTGCCCTCATGTATGTCTTTTAAGGCATCTTTTGAGCTCAGTTGAAGTGATTCCACATTTTCAGGAGCCTTATGACCCCATCTTCAGCTTTGAGGAAACTGAGGTATGTCTCTGGTGCTGCCAGCAAGTCTTCTGCTTGTGTTAACATGTTAACATGCTCATCGCCTCCTGCCCTCCTATGCCACCTAATTTTCATTCCATTTTATTTTACAGATTTGCAAGTTTGGAGATCTGACTTCTAGAAAGGAAGAGGGAAGCAAGGATGAGTTTCTGTTAACAAGTCATCCAAACAACGTATGTTCTCCGCTGAATCACAAGTGTCAACTTGTGCATTTGCATATTTTAATGAGCTGTATGCTTGGCAGACAGCAATTGTAATGGGACCTGAAATTTGTCTGCTTGACCACAGCTCAGAGATACAAGTAGAGCCATTAATGGAACAATGACAAGACCCAAAATAATATCTCAGGGGACAAAAAACAAACCAAAACAAAAAACCCAACCAAAAAAACACTCAAGGTTGAAGAAAAACATACACAAGTGGGAAAAAAAAAGGCTTCTCTCCATACAGTGCTGTCTTCATGTGGCCATAGGGTGACTGAACTTTACATCAAATTCTTTTGGACCAGGACCCTGGGAACAGATTCTCCTCTTTTCCTTCTTCTTTGTCTTTAATCATCCTTTATTTGTTCAAACTTTACATGAGTGACTCTGTAGCAACCATCCTTCTAAGAATCCATTTCTCAGCAGAAAGTATGGTGAATCATTTCCCTTTCTAACCAAAGAAGATGCTTGCTGTTCAGGTCTCTTGGCTCCCAGCTACTCCCCACACAGAAAACAACATTTTTCTTCTGGTTGCTAAAGCATTCTTCCCTCAAATCTTCCAGCCTTCTTTTGTAGCAGTCAGCTCTAGGTCTAGCCCTCCTGAGAAAAGCTAAAATAAAGCCTACAATGATATCTATGTCCTTGATCTACAGGTAACACCAAGGATGTCAGTGAGCTGCACAAATGATAAATTTGGCCCAAGGCTGCTCATGGAGATGACCACATGGGATGTTTCATGCACAGTAAGAGCTTGTAAACATTCATTCTTTCTTTTCCTTTACTTTCTCTCTCTCCCACATGGAAATACTCTGAACAGCAGCTGCCTCTCTGCCAGTATCAAATCAATATGTTAAAGCCTCACTGATGCTCATTTGAGGCAAAGGAATATCATGCTACAGGGTTTAGAGTTTCCAATTTAATATCCTCTTGGCACCAACAATGCTCTCTGTACAACCTTGCTGTCTAATACTAAAAGTATGACTGAGGATGAGCAGTAGCTGTCAAGGACACCAAGGTACACATGAGGGTGTGTACACATGACCTCTAACTACAAAATGGTATGTAGGGAAAGAAGGGGTTTGTTTTTAAACTCTTGTTCATTCAGCTGAAGGTTGCCTGGGTGAGCGTTCAACAAAAACAGTGACTTTTCCTATATGTTCCCTTTACCTACTGCAAATACCAGCAGAAAATAGTCTCTCCTTCCTAAAAACCAAGTGAGCAGAACAGAGGTGCAGTACCAAGTCCATCTGCAGAGTAGATGTTAGTATGAGAAAGCCCTTGGCCACCCCATTAGCCCCATAGTTCTACAGGTCAGAGCTGCATGAGGGACCATGGGACACTACATCACTCTAGCTCCATCCTGCACTGTGGCAGTGCCCTCGGGGCATAAAGAGATTCATGGCGCAGTCCTGTTCTAGAGACACAGGCCCTGACAAAGTGTCACACTGAGGCTTAAGAAAAGCAAGTCCCCTTTGAAATGAAGAGTTATTGTATGTATGCTTCCACCCACATAGGAGAGGAAAGAGGCAGAGAAGCCAAGTAGATCTAGGGCAAGTGTCAGAACTCCCCTAGACAAAGTGATGCAATGCCAGTGAAAAAATACCCATCTTACACACAGTGGCTGCTGCTGAAGCAATCTATTTCCCCAGCCTAGGTAGGATGCTGCCCACACACCAATAAAGGGTAGGGCAAGGAAGGAACAGAGATGGGAACTTCTCCCAGCCATACAATATTACTGTGGATCATAAGCCTGCCAAAAGCTAAGGATGCTCATCTCTATGGCACAGTTTGTGAGAGTCACATCACAGTAAGGCTGGACAGCAGGACTAAGAGGAAGCATTCAGGCAGCAGTTGCTGTCAGCAAAAATATCTGCAAAAGTATTTCCAGATTTGTACTGGAGTTTTGAAGCCTGGAGGTTGCTCCACTGACAGATAACCACAGAGCACATCAGCACAGAAGACTGTGTTGCTGATGAGTGTGGGAACAGGTCATGACAGGTTCTGGGACAGTTTCAGCTGATTTATCGTATTTCACAACTTTTTAGCATCACCTCTTGCTGGCTAGGCCTTCTCAAAAGATATGAGTGAGGAGAGAGATTTGGTATTATTTGGGCTGGAGAAAATTGGAATAGTGGATAGCTAAGGACAATGAGCAGAATGGTAATTTTCTGCAGGAGAGCAAATATGTTCAAAAATTGCTTAGACGTTAAATCTTGGATTCCTCCCATATGGGTGTTATGGCATAAGTTTAATTTCCCTCCCTTTTGTCCACAGTAGCCCAAGAATAGACATTAATCCTGAGAATAAACATTAAGAGAAAACTTCAAAATTTGGAGCCCAAGTGGAAAACCACTAACAGTATCCTCAGGACACAAGAAGGATGGGCACTGTGACCAGCCAGAGAAATGTTGAGTCACCTTTACATTCACCCTTTCACAGCTCAGTCTCCTCAGCTGCATCCCATAGTCTTCTACACTGTTTCCATCATACCACAGAGCTGGCAATGCTGGGAGCAGGGCACTGATTTCAGAAGCTCTCCCAGTGTCGGGGGCACTACCAACTTCAAGAAGCATTGGTTTGCTTCAAGCACTACCAGCTTCAAAATGAAGATAAAGAAAGCAGAAGCTACCTACAATGCTAAATCCCAGACAAGTGCTAGGGAATCCTGTCAGTGACAGACATCATGGCACCTAGATAAGAATGACTCACAAGGACAGACAGAGCTATATTTTTCATGGATTGGTCTAATCTCTTAGGGAAAATGGACCCTGAGGACACCATGCCAGTCCCTTTGCTCCTGAATCAGGTGCACGTGGTCCTAGGGCAATGCAGCTCCCCGCTGGCCCCGCAGCGAGGCAGACATGCAGTAGAACTGTGGGAAGGTCTGGGTTGCCGCTAAACGACTTACACTGCACATCTACTCGAATGGACTTGATGGCAGGGACCCCAACCCCATTTTCTGCTTTACAGTAATAGCGGCCCCCCTGCAGCCTTTGGATCTTCTCAATCCGAAGGGTCTCGTTAAGCACTGACGTCTCTTGGAATTTGTCCGACGCGCTGCCAGCTGTTTTGGTCCATCTCACCTGCATGAGAAGAACAAGACAAATGAAATCAGTGATAGAAAATAGAGATCCCAAGGTACAGCAGAGCTCCCTTTGCTGCTCTTCTCCCTCCTCTCTAGCCCTCTCAAGAATGGGTCCTACAGCACCACCAGACTTAGCAAAGCTCAACTACTGATCTCATTATGTCTCAGTAGGCCAGCTGCTGATTCTCATCCATCACCAATCCCCATGTCCAAGAATTCAGGATGAACCCTCAGTTCACCTAGACACACACTGCATATTTCCTGCTCCTGCTCTGGTTCTGTAAACCCAGCAGCTTGCTCAGTTTTATTCCGCACAGGACTATCAGCATTCAGCCTTGGGACCCCATGTGGCTGGTAGGTCATGATGCTGCAGCAGACATCAGCTCACAGCTACAGAGCTTTCACTGCAGTTCACACTCATCTTTTTCTGGACAGCAAGGCTATTGCTGCTTTTTGCTTTTCCAAGAGTGAGAAAACGCAGTTGCTATCTGACTCTTGCCCCTTTCCCACAGGGAACCCCAGCGTATTTTATTTTTATAAGGCATCCTTTTGCAGTACACAAGGTTTTCCTCTGTTTTTAAAGATACAGAAAAGAAAAAAAAAGAAAAAAGAAAAAAAAATCCCTTCAGATTTCAAGTTATCTTTGCATTTTTTTGTCCTTATATTACATGTCTTAAGATCCTGGCTTGCAGGAACAATGGAGCTGCATGATATTTCACGGTGAATGGTGGCAAGAGGACAGCAATCCTAAAGACTGAACAGTAATTCTTATGTCTGGAATGAGGTACAGCTCTCACAGTGGCAGTACTAGCTTTCCCCTTGTTTTGTGCAGTACAGACAATGAAAGAGAGAGATGGCTTTTCCTAGCCCATTGGTTTCCTATATCTATAGCCTCCCTTCTAAAGGCTGGTGACTGCCGGTCTCCTGCACTGGTGCCCATCTAGACTCTGGGACTGAGATCCAGCAAGATCAGCCAGGAGAAAGAAGATAGACTTGCATTCAGCGTTGGCTATAGATAAAATGGACCAAATATCTTGACCACTTGGCCAGACTTTGCCTAAAGCTCACTGCCATCACCTGATTGATGCTGGTGCTCTAGAAAGAGCAGGGCTGTCTATGTCTCACTCCCAGAGCACCAGACTGAGCAGATTTTCAGAGCTAATGACCATGGATTTATTCAGCCTTTGTAGGCTTATGAAATTGTCTGAGGGCTCCAAGACTCTCCGAGTCTCCTGTTTGCAAGGACAATTCAGCCAGCTCTTTAATCTTTTCAATTGCAAACTCATTTAAGTATTTTGGCCACATTTTCATGCTTTAATGACTGGCTGATAGAAGGGGAAAGAGAAGATTAAACAAAGGTTAACATAAGAGCTTAGCTGGGAAAGAAATCAATCCATGAGGAGGAAGGGCAGAGATAGGATGCCTGTCATGTTTTATATGCACAGGTTCCAGTCTCCCCAGTCACGCCTGGTTCCACATTTTCATGTACCCTGTGAGTGTCCAGGCAATGACAAGCCATCATGTTGCCCACTAGAATGCTGTCTGCAACAGGCTTTGCTCCAGAAATCTCTCTGGCTACTCAGGCTCAAATCCCTACAACCTGACAGGACCTTACCACACATTCAACAACCTTAGGCAGGGCCAGCCCTGTCATCTTCCTCATTTATGATGTACACAGGTATCATTTGCCTATCACAGTCAAAACCCTAGGTTGGTCATTTTTGCTGGTTTGGCTCATATTATTTTCTTTTTATTGTCTCCAGGATATGCTTTTGGTGGATAAACCGTTTCAAATCCTGCTGGCTCCCTTGCCTTTGTCATCATCTCTTTGCCAAGTAGCTCCTCACAAGCAAGTCCACAGAGGCATTACTGGTATATGCAGACATACGGTTTCTCAGCACAAATATTTTTGGCAGGATTGAGGAAGGGGGCCAAGAAGACACACGAATCATATGTGTCTCCCTTGAGTGTATTCTGGCACATCCATCCTCATAGTATGCACCAGCTGCCACTCCTACCATGCTCTATCCCAGAGCTTACAGACCCATGCTCTGGTCCAGTAGCTCTATGGACTCATCCATCCTAACACTGAACCGTCCTGCTTGAGTATCTGAAGGGTGGAGAGGTGGCTGCATGGGACTTGAGGCTATACAAGCCTTTAGACACCCCAGGGAAGGACTGCAAGTTAGCCAAGCTCAGCTTCATACCTCTCCACTGAACTGTGTCTGACAACAACATGGATATGTCCAGTGCCACAAGTATGAATCCACCTCTTGGTGGCCATAAATCAATGAAAAGTAGGTTCTGCACAGCGGTCAGTGAAGTGCAGTACAAACAACTTCACAACCTCTCCCAAGCAGCATCCCCTGGGCTCTCATCATGTGAGAGACTGACAGACCATGAAGGACCAATTCCTATGGCCAGCACATGTGGGTAGCCTTATCTATTCTCTACACTGCTCCTACTTTGTAGTAAGAGTGTTAAAGATTTGAGGGTGGATTGTATATTGGATTCAGTCTGGGCTTTCAGTTTCTGGGGGGACTTCACTGAAAATCATTAGAAGGTCTCTGTAGGCTCCTGCAAAGTTTTGTGGGTTGTTTTCCACAAAAGGAACCTTAAATGCTTCATAGCTTAACAAACAAGTGCTTGCATGATGGGTCATCCCTATTTGACTCCAATATGTAGGAGAAAGCTGGGTACCCCGCTGCCCACAATTTTGCTCTATGTGGAGACTACAAACAAGTGCCATGGGGAGTATGGGTGACAGCTAAGATTGAAAATTTACCTGTGGCCGGGGGTGTCCTGTGACCAGACACTGCAGAACCAGCGTGTCCCCCTCCCGAATTGTGTAAACGCGTTCACTGATGTTGTCTTCCTTCACCACACATGCTTGCCCAGCATGGATGATCTGGGCCTGAGCAGGAGCTGTGGAGAGAAAAGAAGTAAAGAGGGAAATGAGAAGTATCCCAACTCCTTGTGCCCACTACCCAGGGCAGCTGCTCCCACAGCAGGGTGGAAGAGCCAGTTCTTAAGCCACAGAGGGGAAGAGTCCAGTCAGTGCTGGAAATGAGACACAAAGGTCTTAGGAAATAGAAAATTAAGCAATTTTTCCCATTTCCTGGGCAACTGGTATCAACTTTATTTTAACACCTTTGGTCTTGTGATGAGCAGCTGTAGGTATTGAAAAGCAGAATATGGAGATTTTTGGGGGACCCTTCTGCATGGGTTGAGTACTAAGAATATCCTACTCTCATCTCTCCCAGAGAGGAGTACGTAGAAGCAGCTATTTCAGGGACTTGGTCAAATCACAGCTGTTCTATGCCTGTCAAAAATAAGCCTGATTACTATGATTTACCTTGCAGGGGTCTGGCATAACTACCAAGCAGCGTCAGAAAGAGCTTTGAAGCTCTGTACAGCGATTAGCACACATACCTAGAACAGGCATAACACACGCTGCAGGAAAAACAAGTTTTTCCCATATTAAATAGCAGCCTATCTCAGCCTTGAGCAAGAGAGAACACCGTCTGCAAGATCAGGGGACTCATAATCTCTAGGGATCTCTACACCTAGAGCTCCAAACAGACACCAGTTACTCCCAGGAAAATGACTGAAGACCAGTGGAAAAATACATAGAAAGAAAGTTCCCAAATCAAAGTTAAAAAACACAATGACCCCAAAAAGCACCTCTGTCCCATTGCAGCCCTGATGAGCAGCAGGGATAGACAAGCTCTAGGAGAACAGGATTTTATAATGAAAAAATCCTCAGCTCTGAAGTCCTGTGCAAACAGCCTTTGGCATCCTGCTCCAAAGCATTTGTGTGATCACAGAAGCAGCTGAGATGTATTGAAGGCGACTTTGCAGCCCAACAGGACACCTCCGTTTGTTCAAGGGGAAAACTCCAGTCACATTTCAAGAACAGAGAAACCCACAAACGTCTCTGAGTCAGTGTCTCAGTGACAGTTCCCTGGGATACTTCCCTGACTTGCTAGAATGCTTCCAGGAGACTCTGGAGTCACATCTCGAGCTCCTATTTGTGAAATATAACACAAATGAACAAACCACTGCGGAGATGATCAAAGGTTTCAAAGTAACAAGCTTTAGTAAGACTTCTTAAACATGAACAAATTTTGCACAACCTATTAAGGCTGAACCAAGCACCCACTTTTTCCTCAAAGTTAGCTGAACTTCAAAGACTCCTTTTTTAAAAAATTATTTTCATTCTTTTGACATGACCAAAATGTTCTAAAACCAATCACCTGGGCAAGGGAAGCCCTCAGATTTTTACTGGTTTAATCTGCCAGCAGTACAGACCTAAGGCAGGCTGGGCTTGGGCAGTGGAGAAAATCTGCCTTTGAGGGCAGTTTATAAACTGGCATCACTACCATGCACTAACCAAGCGGCAGTGACATGAGAATGGACACAGGGCTAGTGGACAACAAGTTGCTCTTGCTGCTGGGGCTTCACAGCCTGCCACAGCCATCCAACATCTAAGCAGCAGCACTACACATACAGCAAGTTACTCTCTTTTTTGACACTTTGTTAAAATCACTATTACTGTACAAACTGTTGACTAACAGAAGCAACATTTGTATTTGAATAATATGATGGCTCAAACATGTACAAATCCCTCAGGGTCTCCTGTCTTCCCCCACTGCAGGCCTCCCAAGACACCTGCCATCACTCGAGCGCTATGAAATGCTGAAACCAACTGTCCAGGCTTCGCTGATACAACTGAGCAGGTGAGTGACTGACCTTTCCCTGCCTGGGTGGCAGAAGAGTCTTGTTGAACCCAAGAGCAAGTAGAAACCTATATATGTGCTTACACACATCTGTGTGTTTGTATACCCATACATGTATGAATATGTATACTGATATGTAAACACATTAAGTAAATTAGTGATTTATCAGGAAAAGACTATAATAATGCTTGTCAAGCCAACAGTCATAGAGGAGGAATTCAGAAGCCTTTATAACCTTTACTAATACATTTTAATCCAAATGACAGTATCTTGTGCTGTTACAGCCCTCAGATCAGTCTTCTGCAGATCTGCCATCACACCTTTAACCCCACATAAACTGCAGAGCACTTACGGGGCTAATACCCAGGCTGGAATGTTGAAGAACCCCTGTTCTATGATTAAAAGATAGACTAGGTCCCTTTGCATCCTATGCCACATTCCCCCCATCTCCAAACTGTGCTGCTTGCATTTCAGTAGAGTCCTGGCACCCTGCAGCAGCAAAGCTCTTGCAACCTCTCTTTGTAGTCTTTGGGCTGCATTTGCCAGCTGGTGGCTCTATTCTCCCTTTGCAAACATGACCTTGCTGCAAAAACTAATTTCCAGACACCCCATGGAGAATCAGAATATTTATCTGCAGCTCTAGCTCCCAGTTAAATGTTGCTCTGCTGTACCCCATATGGTATACAAGGTAAGTCATATACTCTTTTCCCTTTGTCTATCCCACTTGTTTTATTTCACCTTTCATGTGTAACCCTTTTCTACCAATTCTCCAAAGACATTTCCGCATGGAGAATTTCCACAGCAAAATCATTAGGTCCGGCAGTACAGGATTAGCAGGCTTTTGTGCAATTATTCTGGTGCCAAAATACCTTGTGTTATTTTTCTGGTGGCTGAGTTTGAGAGTAATATTATTTAAACTAAACCATTTTTGGCCCTACAAATCATTACATGGTACTAGTCTACAGCAAAATGACAACCCTGGGAATAAGCCCTGGGTCATAATTTTGTCCTCTTCTCCCAAAATCTCCCTGGATACACTCAGCTTACAAGCAAGGGTGTGAACATCCAGCTTTGTTCATAGGTGTGTGAACTTGCTTGTGTCTTCATCACTAATACCTTTCAGTTAAATTCATTGGAAAGGCACATCACTTTAAGTGAATCTCATCTGCTTAAGCTGTAACATCTCTCTGGCAATCACAGCACCAGGTCCTCAGCAGAACATCCACCATTTTTCCATGTCTTAAACCCCACATGAACCCAAATCCCTCAAAAGGGAACTCAGAAAGCCTAGGGTTGTCATGGAAAGAGAGGCACTCAGGTAGATGGCATAGAAGCCTGAGAACTCTGCCTTTGGTTTGGTTACAACTTGACATTAGTAAGGGAGTGGGGGCTAAGCAATGAACCAATCCAGCTCTTTGGGGCTTGCATTAAATTACGAGATGACACTCAGGAAGGTCTCTGTTCCAAGCTCAGGCTGCCACAGCACACAAAGGCTGGGAAAGTCACCTTATGCCATATTACAGATGGGCAGAGAGACTGTGAGGATTAATTGCACTTCTAATGTGCTTGAACAGAAAGAATACATTATTGTTTGACATCATCCCAAGTCTCCTGGAGGATTTCAGCATGCAGACAGTTTGCACATTGCCAGCACAACAGGATGGCAGGACCACGCCTGTCAGAGCATCAGTTTCACAGAAGGCCCCTAGGAATGAAAAGAAAGGCTGGAGCATGAGGCCAGGTGCTGGAGTTGAAGCAGCAGTCTCAGCCATTCTCAGCAGTGCTCTGTGAAGAACAACTCTTGCACAGAGACAACCTCCCTTGCTAAGTCCTGCTGGGGCAGAATCCCTCTCCTCAGACCGTCAAACCCCAAAGCAGAGATCCAAGGAAGACCTCTGATGGTCTCTATGGGGGAAAAGGGGACAGATAGTTTCCCACCATATTTTTCCCAGAATTTTGAGAGACAGATGAATCATTACTTTTATTTCACTTCCAGGTAAGAGATCAACTTAGGGAAGGCTCCCAATACAAAGTCCTCCAGAGAAACTAGGACAGCCAAATATTGACTGTCAGATGTTTTAGAAGTGAAAAAATTCAGACTCTGAACATGCAGCATTAGGCCCTTCCTCAGAAAATGGCTGGCTTGCAATGCATTTGGCCTCTGCACCGAGATTTTCTACTATGCTTTCACTTGATATATTTACACATTAAAACAAAAGGAAATTGAAATGGATAAAATAACTTTATTCCCAGTGCAGTGTACTGCACAATGTTATTATTACCATAATATGGAAAGTTTATGAGATGCTTGGTGCTTAGAGGTTGCTAATATGAAAATGCAGAAAATGAGAGAAAAATGGTCTTTTGGAGAGGACTGAGTCATGTGTGGTTCACATGTCTAACCATTTATCTCCTTTAACCTGAGATCCCATCGCTACAATGGCAATGATGAGAGCTCCTTCACAGAGAGGATGGTATGTGACACTGCCTACTTTGCTGTCAACACCCACAAGGGCCACTCTCCTCACTTGCAGCACAGCATCAACCACACTTCACTGCTGCCTTGTCAGCAGGCTAACATTAGCCATCACTGTTTGACTCTATCCCACCATTACCCTTGCCACCTGCACACATCCTGCTGATGGCCTCAAGGATGAAGAGCGTTCATCTCCAAAGTTGCTGAGCTAATACCCACAGCTACACACACAGGGGCACTGAATCCACCCACCTCTGCTATCGCCCTCATGCAGGGTAGCAGGAGAGGGAAGCTGCACCTGGAGCTTTCTTTCTTCCTCAGGCTTAATCTACCACCCTACTTAGCATGGCAAGCAATGATCTTCCATGTATCTGGTGTAGTTATAATTCAGTCTCTTCTGCACATACCCTAGTCAAGGAAGTCAAAGTCCTTCCCCATTTCTGTTCACAGGCTCCTTGGACTCACATTGCTTAGTTACACTGGAGCAAGAAGGAGGGGAGCATCAGCCGCTAATCTGCTGCTTAAACCCCTAAAGAACCTGCCTGTCTCCTTCCCTCAGCATTCCCATTGTGAGAAAGTGGTATGTAAGGGATGTATCTTGAAGGGAGTTCCCATAAAAGGGAAAAACACACAGGGTATTTATGAACCACAGTGGGGTTGAATAAGCATTTCATTAAGGAAATCCACGTCTGGCATTCGTTGTGGAACAG